CCCGCGGGCAAGATTTTATCGTGGGCCCCCCCCCCAAGATGGGGGGGGGGGGCGCGGGCCAATAGGTGAAGCATTCCAGTGCTTTCCCAGCTGTTCCGGGGCAGATCGGCATCGCAAATCACATGTGCAGGAGTACTGATCTGCCCTAAAACAGCTGATCGGTCCTGAAATGTCACTTCTCTCCAACTGCGATCTCACATTCCACCGCACTCACAAAGTCGGATAGAAGTGACATTTCAGGACCGATCAGCTGTTCCAGGGCAGATCGGTTCTCCTGCACATGTAAATTTGCGATGCCGATCTGCCCTGGAACAGCGGAGAAAATGTTGGAATTCTTCACCTATTCCACCTCCTATAAACTGGGCGAGATTACATTAAAATGTGTGACCACATCACTGGTCACACATTCTAACGTAGTCTCAAACTGTAAGAGATCACATGCCTACCTGTAATCATTTAATAAGAGAAATAGATTATAATAGGGTTTATAATAACATTACAGTGTAATATTCCCCCTTATAATCCACTTGTCTGATTACATGAAAAAGCAGTGTGTAATAAGCGCCGCCAACTCTCAGTAGGTCTCATGTCACTCTAGTTTAACCTTTATATGCCAAGTCAAGCAATGCTGGACCTTTTATGCATTATGCTGGATTCTCTTGCATGCTTTGCTTTTATCAGGCGTGGGTATGGCTACCCTTAGCGTGATACAAAAAAATTATTAATGTCTGGAAACAAATTTGTTCTTATAGATCACTTTAGATGTAATATTATATTTAGCTCTATTTTATTACCCAGGGTGCCGCTTCCAGAGCCCTGGTGGACTGCCATGTGGGAATGTGGGTCGGGTGCCGCTGCCATCCTGGACATGCCACTGGCCAACTTAACAGCAGCCGTGGACTTCGTGTCCTATTTCTTGGAGGTCCCGGTGAGCTACTGTGCCTGCCCCCCCCCGTCTTAGGAAGCAAAGGTGGTGCTGTATGCGGCTGGAGTGGGTAAGTCAGTTCCATCTAAGCGCGGAGCTCTGGTCTCAGGCAGCCATCTTGCCGAACCCTGCACATGCGCCTATCCCAGGCACGATATTTAAAGGAATTTTTCATTTTTATTGTTACCTTTTAATTGATGTTAAAATCACTGCTCCTTTAAAAACTGTATTTTTTAAAAGTTTTTTTTCATTGATTCCTGTCCCCCAGAGCAGTACCCGAATACCCATACACTTTTTATGGCCAATAACTTGCATATAAGCCCTCTTAAAGGGGATAATTGTTTTTAAAAGTTCCACCCTTATAGACTTGCATTGAGTTTGAATTTGAACTTTTTGGATGTTCTAAAGTTCGAATTGGATCCGAACTCGTGCCTGTTCGGCCAATTACTATTGGTAATATAAATAGTTTGGTATAGCCTGCAAAATGAGAACAAAAGGTTTCATAGTAAATCATTCAGTTTTATCCTGCATCACAATATACATACTCTTTGAACAGAACCTTTATTAACCTCCCTGTCGGTATGATTATTATTTTTTCTTTCCTTTTTTCGTTCGTTTCATTTTTTTTTCAACTTTCAAAAATCCCGCTGGTTCTGCCCCCCTGCGACGCGAACGCTCGCAAGGGACGGAACTCGAAAGACGGATGGCGGCATCGGCCGGAGGACACAGCACGGCTCAAGGGACAATTTAAGAGGCGCTATGCTGTATTCCCAAGTGTGGCTCGGGGTTACAGCTTATGGTACAGAAAATTAACCCCGAGCCACACTCGGGAATACCGCCAGGAAGGTTAAGGGAGGGTTAGTGGGCTACAACTTCAGTCAAAGATTTTTTGTTAATTTTACTTTAATCATATTTAAGCAACTTTTTTTCCTACTGAATTGTGTATGGCTGTGAACAATTTTTGATTTACTAAATAATAAGACTTAAAATGTTTTTATTTTTTTATTACAGGTATTTATATTACTCTGACAATTTTACATAATGTACAGTACATTCACATTAACTCTATAGGAGCTTACAATCTATTTCCCTATTCCATGTGAATAGACATACTAGGGCCAATTTAGACACAATCACTTCCTGGCCCCAAAAACACTATCATACCTTAAAATTACCATCTACTTCCACTGCTGCTGGCCTTCCACCATTAAAATCTTATGCCACCATTACCAGCTCCTTCCACCACTGCTGGCCTCAACATTACCAGCTGACGCCACAAACATCTCCTGCCACCACTGCCAACTTTACCAGTTCTTGCTACAGCTGCTAGACTGCCATCATAACCAACTCCTGTCACAATTACCAGCTTCTTTTACCGCTGCTGGCTTAAAACTTAAAACACCTCCTGCCACCACTGCTGGCTTGCCACCATTACCAGGTTCTACAACCATTACCAGCATCTTCCACTGCTGTTGGTCTGTCACCTTTTCCATCTTCTGCCACTGCTGCTGGCCTACAACCATTACTAGCTTGTCTCTACTGCTCTATTCCGTTGCTCTGACCCTATTGTTAATATGTCTGCAGGGTCACTCTTGCATTGCGCCTTAAAGTTTCAGGTGTATTCTGGTGATTATCCACTATAAAGGAGGCGCCACACATAATGTTTCTGCAGCTGGTCCTCATCTGCAGATTTGCTGCAGGGTAAATCATGTTCTGTGTCTCTTAGTTTGTGGCATATTTCATTGCTCTGGCAATCAAGCATATTTGTGGCTTTTGATGCTCTGAAATAGTACACTCTAACTGTAATTTCTTGGTTTAAACCTGTCTCCTACACTGCTGCCTAATAAAAGCGCTTACATATTGTGTATGGAGTCAATCCAATTTTTAACTGACTTTTTTTCTGTGAAATTATACACTATAAGATGATTTTTTTAAAATTGAAAGCTGACTGGTATCTCTCCTGTTCAAAATGTGACCAAGTTAAAATGCTTTTAATTCTGTGAATGAGTCAATACAATATTAAGCTGTCTTTTTTTCTGAAATAAATATACTCTAAAGTTGACTGCTGTCCCTCCTGTTCAAAGTGTGGCCTGCTAAACGTGCTTAAATACTTTATATGGATTCAGTACAATATTTAGCCGGTCTTTTTTCTGTAAAACCATTACACTCTTATGTTGATGCCTTCATTAAAAGATACCTGGTGCTTAAACACTCTGTATGGGGTCAGTACAATAAATAATACACTCTAATGTTGATTTTATTTTCATCAAAGCTGTCTGTTGTCTATCTGGTTCAAAATACGGCCTACTAAAAGTGCCTACTTAGTGTGTATGGAGTCTGTATGACATTTATCTGGCTATTTATGTGAAAATACACTCTAATGTTGATTTTTGGATTAAGGGTTGACTGTTATCTCTTTTCTGTTAAGTATATACAAATTATAGTGGATTTGTAGGATGAAAAACATCATGCGGTGTGTCATTTTGAAAATGCAGCCTACAACGGATTTTTAAAATATGGTTTATAGAGTCTGACAATATTTCTTAATTTTCTACAGTTGTAGCACTCTGTAAGCAGGAATACTAAAAAAACTTTTTTTTTGTTTGGCCTCAAAAGCGAATGAAGTGAGTGATTTTCCAAATGTGGCCTACAACAGATTGTTTAAATACTGTCCATGGAGTCTGTACAATAGTCCTTTTTTTACAGTTAAAAATGTACACTTTATTGTGTTTTCTTGCCTCAAAAGCTGGATCTTGATGTCATGTTTATACTAGAGCATGTTTTATGTTATATATTTTAAAAAGTGCAAACAAGCCCTTTTTGATGTGTATTGCTCTACTGTTGTCATTTTGGATTTAGAATGGTATACTGTATATAGTGGGCATCATGTTTGTGAACCCTTTAAAACATATAGGGGGGAATTTATCAAAACTGGAGCAGACAGAATCTGGAGCAGCTGCCCGTGGCAACCAATCAGCTTATCTCTTTAGTTTGTTCAGTTAAGATTTGAACATGAAAGAGAGAAGCTGATTGGTTGCAATGCACAGCTGCTCCAGATTTTGTCTGCTCCAGTTTTGATAAATTCCCCCCTTTGTTTCTAGATACTAAACATGTTGTTATATGTGTATTTCAGCATTTATTAAATATCTCTTGTTATCCCATTCGATCTTTTAAGGACAACAGTATAAAGACCAGTAAATACAACATCCTTACCTTCATCCCTCTCAACCTATTTGAGCAGTTCCACAGAGTGGCAAATCTCTACTTCCTGTTTATAATAGTGTTACAGGTAAGAGTTTTTAATTCTGCTTTACTAATAGGATCATTGAGATGATAAAGAGCCAAATCTGAAAACGGCTTATGCTGCTGTAACATAAAGGTATGGCAAAGTTGAAAAAACAGCTGTTTACGGAATATGAGCTTAGCAATAACGTTTAGTTTAATATGGTTACTTTGTAGAGGTGTACCGTGGCCCCCAATATCATGATAGCCTCATCACCATAATGATGTAATTATACTGTACATGTTGTTTGAAAACCATTTTTTTCTGCCTGTGCTTGTCACATTGGGGAGGTTTTCTTTTACTTTCTATCCCAGAGACTAGGGATGCTCCGATACCATTCTTTCGGTATCAAGTACGAGTACAGATATTTACCTTTTGGTACTCGCCAATACCGAATACCAATACGGGTATTTCCGTGAGCATAGAGCAGCTTCCCAGCCAATCAGGAAGCCTTGAGGCGGGACATTACCCGCCTCCTGGCTTCCTGATTGGCCCGGAAGCCGGCTCAATGCTGTTTGGCCTGCTCAATGCTGATTGGCCGGGAAGTAGGCTTCCTGGTCAATCAGGAAACCGGGAGGCCAGTCATTACCCGCCACCCGGCTTCCTGATTGGCCGGAAAGCCGGCTCCATGTTCCCTCGCGGCACTGCTGATCAGAGGAAATCTCCCCTTGGCCGGAACGTCCAGTATTAGCGGTAAGAATCGGAGCATTTGGGTGAGTACAAGTACTCACCCAAATACATAAGTAAGTATATAATAGTATTGGCACCTATACTACTCTGATTACTCTGGAACGCAGACTTTGTGGTGTGAAACGGCACTCTGTCTTGGCTGTCTCTTCTCTCTCTCCTCGCTCTCTCCCCTGTTTCTATCTGCTGTCTCTTCTCTCTCTCTGCTGTCTCTTCTGTCACTTTCTTCCCCTGTATTTTTTTTTACTTCCACTGCAGCAGCTTGCTAGGTCTCCTTTCGTGCGCCGGTGTCCTGTCCTTCTTGCGGT